GCTTTCCAATTCTATTTTCTTGTTAGAGGGTGTATCTGTGACAGGCCTAGGAAAATTTCCATCCTCTATCCTTGATAAATTCTGAGATAAGCTGACTAGCCTGGCATGCACACTTGAGGCTCCACCACTGCAACAGCACTCAGACTAGATTCAGTGTCATTCAGCATCCCATTTCTTATGCTGTAGATCAGGAGAAACTGCTCAGAAAATGAGGTGGCAAGGCTGTAGTTGATGCTAATGCACTCAGGGGAGAGCCCTTTGGGCAGTGACCACACAAGCTGTAACCTTGGGATTCTGTCCTGGCAGTGGCACCAACCCCACCCCCCTTCCCTCACTCCCAACTCTCTGTCCCCTTTACCCCCTCTGCATTGTGTCCAACCCATTGAGTTTCCCTGACGGACGCTCTTCCCCTGCCCTCATCTATCTTGAACAGCAGCTGCAGGAGATAAACAAGTGTCCAGCTGTTTCCTTGTCCTCTTTGCTCTTCCTGGGTCATGTCAATCCTAGGCAGCCCAGCCACATTCAGATGAGATGCAGACACTTAAAAAAATGACATCCCTCGCTTGTCTCCTCAGAAGGGCTCAGCAGGGTCCTGCCACTGCTTCTGTGTGCGGCTGGGTGGAAAATGCTGCTCAGACTGCAGTCTTGAGGCTCAGCATGCCTTCCCCTCAGGGAAGGGGATCTGGCATCTGGATGGAAGACCCTAGCAAGGAGTGACAGTGCATTCTGAGGGCTTGTTTTGCATCAGGAGAGTGGCCCAGCTCAGAGCTTCGCAGGAGAGCCAGGCTGTGCCTCCCTGCTGCCCACTCGGCTCCTGTTTTACAGCCCCTTGCAATCCATGAGCAGCATCCTTCTACTGTCCCTGCTCTTCCCAGCCAGCTGCCAGCCCCACGGCACTCAGAATGCTGCTTTGCACGCCGATCTTCCCAGTGATCTTCCTAGACCCTGACGCCCCTGGTTACCCAGCAACCTTCCGTGGAGACAGAGCTCAAGGGCAGTGAGAATTCCCTGGCTCTCCCCGGCTCTTTTCCCGAGGGAGGTCAGGCTGGGTTCCCCCCGAGCCTTCCCGCGGCCGGCCGGAGCTGCGCCGCCCTGCTGAGGCAGGGGGGATTCTGTGCTGACCCAGGGGCATTCCGTGCCGCCAGTGAGGCGGAGGGCCCCCCGGGGCACGGGGCAGGCTGCCGGGCACACACGGCCACATTGCCACCTAGCCTCCCTCCCGGGGATGTGCAGCCCTGCCAGCCCAGCCTGGGCCCGTCCCCGGCTGCATCGCCCCCAGCCCGGCTGGGGTTTCAGCTCGCTCCCCCTCCTCCCAGCCCCAAAGTCACCAGCTGCTCCCCCAGCTCTGGGGTCCGTCCGCGCTGCTGGCACAGGGCCACGAGCCGGGGCCGCCTGTCTCCCAGCCTCAGTCTCCAAGCAGATGGAAGACATCAGCTCCCTGCCGCATCTTTCCACGATAATCTGTCTCGCCCGCTTCCTTCCAGGGACACCTCTTCTCACGGCCAGTAAATCCCCAGTGCTTGCCTGTCTTTTTCCAGGGCCCAGCCTCATCACATATCTTTCATGGGTAAGCATCTTCCCAAAGGCCATCTCTCCCTAGCCATGCAGGATGCCCTAAAAAGGACACCTCCTCCCCAACTCCCATGGAAGAATGTCTGGGCACAAAGTCCCCACCTTCACCAGCAAATAGGCACCCTCTTGGGAGTTTCAGCTGATGCAAATCCTAAATCCAAACACATGGGAATGTACAGTAAACCAAAGACCCAGTTGGAACTGAAGGGGGGGCACATTTGTAATGAGGCAAGAAGACTCCAGGACTCTGCCTTTGGCTTCCCTTTGCAGCAGGTGGCAGCTCCCCCAGAAGCTGCACAGGAGATGAGAGAATTCTTCCTAAGCATGTGTCATCCTGGAATTTTTTTCTATTGTTATATAGAAGCACGTTAATGCCAGAATAATAAACAGGGACCAGGGGAGAAAGTGACCTTCTGGCAGCAGCTGAGATAGGAAGTGTTTTGGTTTTACTTCTCTCCTCTGAGGGACTCATTCCACCTGCCTGTAGCCATCCTGTAAGAAAAGAACCTGCAGGAAGAACTGCTACACAGGGAGGAAATCACATCTGCTTTCCTAGTAGGATGGATGCAAAAGGAAAAGCCTCCCATTTGGAGAGAGTTCAGCTTCAGTGGACCCCAAAGAAGGATGCCCCAAGCCGGAGCCCAGGAAACCCAGTAGCTGCTCCCAAGACAGCACTGGCTCACTGCTCAGAAGGCTCTGGAACAGAGCACAGCACAGCCTGGAAGTTGAAAGCAAGCAGGTATTATCCCCTGTGCAGAAACAAAAGAGGGGACCTGGAAATGAGGATCCTTGAGCAGGTCTGCTCATAGGAAAAGATGGAGAGTCTGGAGAACTCACCTCAGCCTGGGCAAGGCTCCATCCATCTGCCCCTGCTCGCACAGGCTCTGCTGCCAGAGCTCACCATCCTGCAGCCATGGCAGGGCCCAGAGCACTGGGATGGGTGGCAGCTGGCTATGGGCTCATCCACAAGCTGGACCCTTTCCCCTGACAGAGATACTGCTACAGGCAGCACCCGGAATTTGCCAAGCACAGAGCTGTCAACATAGGCCAGGGATTTCTGCTGAGACGATATTCCTCATCAGGGGAGACAGGTAAAAACTGCAGGGGACGCACTATGAGATATGCTTAGCTTAGCTGTCTGCATGTCTGCTTATTAAGCTCTGAGATTAAGGATTTAGCTCCACACGTATCAGTTTACTTAGAACTAAAGCATCACTTCACATTTTAATCTCAAGTATGCTGCATTGTCTTGCCCGCTTCCTCTCGTGCCCTCTCCCCATGACCTCTTCCTCAGCAAAATGCTGGAAAGTTATTAGCAAATATTATGTGAAATGTTTAATATCCAAACAGCAGGGTCTGGCATCCCATGAGAGATTCAGAGCCCCTATGGTCAGGACAAGAAAAACAAGGATTGTTTGCAGGCGCCCAGGTCCTGCTGGTTGATGCTTTGAGGCTGGAGTTGTTGTTAAGCAAAAATCTCACAGTAAAGTGTCCCTTTAGACAAGTTATAAACCAGGCTAGGCAGGAATGAGGTATTCAGCTGGGGTGAAATCCACTTCGGCTCTACCCACAGACTGTGCACAGAAACAAAATACCCCCTACAAGTGCTACTTCAAATGCTATTCTCCAGCACTGTGTTAGTGGAAGGCATTTTCCTCTTCTCTTCTCAAAAGCACTTACATTAAGGAAGACTGAGCTCCTTTTGCCTGCAGGAAGGCTGGGACAGACCTGTCAATTTGCTTATGATTTATTAAAAAATTATAGAAGCATTTGTTTAGTGTTTATCAGGGTTGGAGGAGTTTCAAAAGTTGCAGTAGGCTTTCTAAAGCAAGACCTCAGAGCGATTGAGTGGCATAAACACTTTCCCTAAAATTGCATAAAAGCATATATCCTTTTTGTACTCCAAATATGATCCAGAAACGAATCTAACCATGAAAAATAAGGGCAATGGACAATGTCTGAGACATCAGGCTGTGCCATGTCCTTGTGACCCCGAAGCAAAACCCACCCAAGGGAGGGAGGCCAGTCACACTTTTCACTGTGACTGCCACGCAGAGTTTGCTCACTGTCCCACTTAGAGAAACAGCATAAACATCTCTGAGCACACAGAGTTCCTCCTGACTGCACTCAGATTGACTGGAAACACTGACTTCAACCAGGCAAGCATCTGCTCTGCTCCTGTGCCACTGGGCACACACCTACGGAGGAGGCAAGCCCAGGGCTTAAAGGCAATGCCCATGGGGCACAGAGGACTTGGACCAGCAAACCCAACATTCCCCAGCCCCCAGACAACAGCAAACAAGGAACATGCTGCCAGCAGCATGATTCTGCTTTCCCACAGAACTGAGTTCACAGGGAAATTTTACTTAATGGGACAGTGCCACTACTTAAAGGTTAATATTGAAATTAAACCTATAGTGTAATCTTTTCTGTGATACCTGGAGCAATGGAGTTGGAGGGGGTCCAGGGCTCACTTTTTCCAGGGACAATGTGGGACAATTTCACAGTGAGAACCATGGGGCAGATACGTCTGCAAGGAGTAACTGGAGTGTGCGATAGCTCAGCACTGCATTCTTTAGATCTTCACACTGAGGCAATGCAGAGCCAAAGCAAGGAGCTTTCCTAGCATAAGAGGAAGAGGAGGCAGAAGGGCAAGGAGCAGCCAGCCACCACTGCCACCCGACCTCTGAGGAAGAGGCCTAACTGCTGCTGACTGCGCCCCCTGCACCCTCTTCCCCAGCCCTGCTATGTCAATGAGTGCTCTGCACTGATGTCCCTTCACCAGTCACCAGCACCAAGTTTCTCTGCTCAGCTCCATAGAAAAGCAGCTCTTTGGCTCCAGCATCCCAACCAGTCCTGAAAGCAACAGAGTAGCATTTGCCCATTGCTGTGCCTAAGCTTAGGAAACTGGACAACAGCCAACCTCACCAATAGCCCACCTCAGATGATGTCTGACAGTGGTCCCAAGAAGCAGTCCAAAAGGAAGCTTCTTTCTGTGGTCCTTTCAATCTGAACCCGGCCCTTGCATTTATCTGAGAACACAGTTTTCAGGGGTCGTCAGGTGGAGAGCACAGGCTGCATCTCAGCTCACCCACTGGCTCCCGCTTCAGCTCCCTTTCCTACCTACTTGTGCTTCCTAGTCTCTGGTATGCCCTGTTCAAGCACACACCACTGAAGGGTGTTGCAGGCCACCGTGCCCTCCTCATTCTAATTATTCCTAAATATTTCTCTTAGGCAAAGAGAGAAACCAGTCCTTTTATTTAATGTGCCCAAAGCACCCATAATTCATTACGTATCTCTCCTACTCTACTACGTGTGAATCCATTTTGTAGACCTCCAGTATCACTGGGCCAAGGATTGAGTCTTATTCCTGGGGAACTGGGAAAGGCAGAAATAGGGAAAAGAGAACATAAGCAATATGGCACAAGGATTTTCACGGTCTCATTTTAATGATAACAGACCAGATTAACATAACAGGAGGAATAAGGGTGAAGGACTGTTTCCCAAACATACTGCAGGTGTTCTGTGAAATAAATCAACCTTCTTTTGGAGAAAAAGAAAATATTTCAATATTTAAATCAGTTGCTTGAAATTCTTAAAAGGGAGGAGATATTCTTGATGAGCATCAGCTTTTTCATGTTTCACTGGCTTCTGGAAAACCACCACGGAACAGCTACTGCATGAAAAGATATAGAAGGGTTGCTGAAGACCTCTCAGCATTCATACAAAGTTGCGGGCAATGGCCAATACTTTGGAGAACTCGCCTTCTCTTCTTCTCAGTGTATAGGGTATTGGTGTTCTTATTCTAGTGCCTATTGGGTTCCCATTATCTTCTATGAGAACCACATTGTTGGAATCAAATCTAGGCGTCATGGTGGGGCCCGGCATCTTGTGCCCTACAATTAAAGCCTTCTTCTTTTCTCCTTTGATAGCCAGAAGGATCTTATCTCCAACTTTGCCAACTCCAGTCTTGTTATACACGTGGATACATTTTGGTGGCCGGTGGTAGGGCGTGTTCCCCAAGGCACTGTTGTCCACCACTCGCACGCGGGTGAGTTTCTGTATCGCTCGGCACGCTCCGGTGATGCTACCAAAGACAGGAGAGAATGACAGACACATCTCCTCAATAATCCGTGGGGAGCAAAGGCAAACCCAGAACAGAATCTTGTCATTACACAAACCACTCAAAAGGCACCAACAACGAATATATACCATATGGGTGACACACTGACTGCATTCAATGTGCTCTTTGAAAGCCAGATGCTACTTGGGGCTTTGCACACTCTTTACTAAATGTCAAATACAAAATGACCTTTCTACTCCAAAACACAACTAAAGATGGCATGAAGAGTGGCTTGCATACCACGGGCTTTTTAGCAAATGCAGATGATGATGATGCAGCGTTAATCTACAAGCTACAAAATGTGCTCACTTCTGTTTCAAAAAGCCTGCAGGAAGCTAAGACTCAAGTCAGGTTCCTTCAATCTTGCACACAGTACCCAGCACTAAGAATTTTTATGATCCACCTTCCTTTCACCGAAATCTGTGAGTCTCACAGTTTATTTTGTTCTCAGTAAAACATCTGAGGTCTTGCTGTGGCTGTCCTAAGTTGTTCCCAACTAGAATCTAAGAGATCGCCACCATCCCCAAGTAGAAGGAATCCAGAAAGACTCATACAGTCTCTTCTGTATGCTTGCTTTGTGGAAGTAAGAAACAACAAACTGCACAATACTAGTTGTTAGGTCCGACTCTGAATATTCTTGGGAACAGCAGGAACATACTACCTTATAGAAACCATTATTCTTTTATTCAGTGAGCTCAAACTCAAGGGACCTGTTGCTTGTCTTCAAATGACACCCAAACACAGACCACTGGAAAAGAAGGAAGATCCTCTCTGCTGCTGAACAACTGCTTTGCAATGAGGTACTAGAAACATGCTGGCCAGAGCTGCAGGAATGCCAACCTGATGCCAGCTGAACTACTCAGTGACAGCATATGGAAGCAACCTAACCATGCATCTCGTTTTTCAGAAGTGTGCAAAGTAAATAGGGACCATCATCCCTTCTTGAAGAGGAAAGGCCTGTATTTGCAAAGCTACCTAAAAGAAGAGCATGCACACCAAATGTGGTGTGGACGGACATCAGCTGAAGCAGGAATTTTTACACACGGTGAAGGACAGTGGAGTCAATCTGCACAAGTCCAACTGCTCCAGAGGTCAAGCTCTGCCTTTCAAAATCTGTTTCCCACAGCAGAGGCCTAGTTTAGCTTTCCTCTCTCTCTCAGAATTCACTAATCTCTGCAACCAGACATGCCATCCCATCCAGTCTCATCCCATCCTCTGACAGGGACTGTGGTACACCACATTCTCTCTCCTCTGCCCACCATCTGTGGCTGCACAACAGGGAAAGCAGAAGGCAGGAGGCTGGAAAAAGAGAAGTGCTGTCACAGGAAGGAGCAGGGAAAACCTCGGTGGGACCAAGTGTACAACACAGCAGTAGCAAAGACATATGGATGTGACTGTCCAGGAACCACTAGACAAGAATAACTGCACCGGGAGAACTTTTTCCTTCCCTTTTTTCTTGATTTCTGCCACAGTTTTGGAGGAATACCCCACAAAGAAAAGGTCTCCCCATTAAGTTTTCTGAAGTCCTGTTCACCTTTATGGACTGGACTTCACCTCCCTGTCATTGTCACTTACACATGCTTTAAATGTATGCTGGCCAATGCTCTCATGCAGCCCACTTAAAGAGAAAGCCAGAAACACATGGATACCTCCTTGAGATAGCTCCCAGGTTGTGTATCACACAACCTAGCCCATATCTTAATCCCCCCTCTAGACCACAATCCTGAGAATGACTATAATCATCCTTTAAACTGAAGCCCTGACCTTTCAAAGAGTTAGAGATTCCCCAAACTGGCAGAGTGTACAGTGGAATTAAACTGTAAGATTTGTGCAAAGCATTGTAAAATATGAAGTACATAAATTTAAAACTTTAAATGCCTAGAGCCTGGAGCAAGAAACAAAAGAAAAATAACAAAATAGACACTGTTAAAGTATGAGAAAGTAATTTTTCAGATTATTTTTATTCTAAATAAATTATAAACTGTTGAATAACTTTGAGCACTGTAATTGGCTCTGCATCAGCAGGGGCTTGTTGTTGGTTTTTTTTCCACTTGCATGAGAAACACAGACACTTTCAACTTCTACTTGCAGGCCCATGAATGGCTGTCAAAGGCCTAAAAGCCTCCTTACACACATACGAAAATGCAGAATGCTAGGAACCTGCAAATGGAGTGCCTGAGCTCACTTTTCAACCTATGAAAGGACAAGTGTAAGATTTTAAAAAAAAATTATTACCCTTTTGAATTACAAATGCTGTATCTTATTCTTGATCAACTTAACAGCATCTCTTTCAACTATTAAACATTCTGAAGAAAACAAAAGCAAAATCTGAAAGTTACCTGAACTGTCGTTGGATCACAGTAGTGCTTAGATGGGTTAAGGATAAACCAACTTGTCTATTCAAGAGAGCCATTTGGTAGCCAACCCTGCAGAAGAAACAAAAGAATTATTAACTCTGGAAAATGGACAGAACTTGGTTTGCTTTCTTTCCTTTACATGAATCACACACTAGGGCCTCAGCAGCTATTTAGATGCTGCAATCCACAGGACACACAGAGTGGTAGCAGCAGCTGCAGCACACCACAAGCAGATCTACAACCCCTGCCTGAATTCAGGAGATAATGTAATTCATACACATATACTACAAAGCTGGATTCAGTATCACTGCATTGCAGTTTCCTACACACAGAGGTAAGGGCCGTTCTGTGTGCACTGTGAATCACATAACAAGAAGCAGGTTTGAGAATTTCAGATGTGAACTGGTTTAGAGGCTGCAATGCCCAGAAAAAGCCATCATGGTTACTTGTAAAAGCTACCAAGGTTACCTACAAAACCAAGCAAAAGGCCAAATAACCTACAGACTGGCATCACAGCTTCAGGAAGCAATTTGCCAGACAAGAAACAAGTCAGAGCTCTGTTGGTGAGGGCACACTGTCTCTTGGCATACAAAGGTGTTAAGCAGCCTGTTACAAGACACAGTCATGCTGCTGCCAGTCCTGCCCTGTTGGGGCTGCCCAGAGAAGAGTTCCCTGTGCCTCTGCAGTGCTCACTCCAGCTGCTGTACACTGCACACTGCCCCGAGTGCAGCAGAGCTGGGTCACAAGGGTAACCTCACTGAGAGCCACACCCTCCTCCCTGCCTACGTCTGTGGCGGATCCCCAACCCCATTCTGTCACACTGACTGGGACCAGCTTGCTACGCAGACACAAAGGCTTATCTGAACCCAGATCACTTTCCCAAACATCATTAGGGAGCCATGACCCAGGTGGTTATGCCGGCAGATCCAAGGGAAGGAAGGAAACAACACAGACCTAGAGCCAGGCCTCTTTCAGGCCACCTCAGGTACAGCTAAGACTTTCCACCTGACTGCAACTACCAGCATGTGACACAGCTTGCTGTGACCTTGGCAGTGTAACCAACACGTGCTCTGCTTCTCTCCTTTCAAAAGCAAACACTAAAAATTCATTGACCTCATCTCTCTCTGACAGTTCTGATGAGTTTTGGGCCAAACTATAGCAATACACTGTAAAGCCATTTTTTTAACCTTTATTTTTAAAATAAAGCTGAGTTAACTTCTCTAGGGGGAAAAAAATACCCACAGAACCTTCAAATAGACAATGCCACAGCTCTTACTACAACCAAGTAAAGTCCAGCCTAAATCTTAACTCCCTCTTTTATTACTTTTTTCTCCAATGTGTTTGCTTACCTGGGGATATGTGTAAGTTTTAGGGTTTGTAGCTGTTCTACAAGGCAAGTGTTACCTGAGAGCACGACGAAAAGCACAGGACATGTGCACCACAGCAGTTTTGAGTGGTGCTTCCTGAGCAAAGCACAGGTGCCAAACCAACTCTGTCAAACAGGCAGGTTTGGAAAAGAACAGCAACAGCCAAAGCTTACATTTATTTACAAAAAAAACTAAAAAAACCAACCAACCAACCAACCAACCAAAAAAAAAAAAAGAGCCACTTTTCTGTGGGATAGATGATCATCAAATGAGTTGAGGGCTTTCCCACAGTCTCCTCTCTGAAATGTGACTCCAAAAAGGCTGTGTTTATGCCACATGTCCTTACCTGTGTGATCCTAATGCCTAATGACAGCAAGGGCCTGTTGCATTTACAGTGCTCCTGGCAATCAAGGTCCAATACCTGGCCTCGCTGCTGCTCAGATTTCTAAGCAAGTTCAACTATGCTGACTTACTTTAAGCCCACTATCTGCCTGTATCCTCATATGCACGTGAGTGTGCTGTCTCTCCATGTGAAAGTATGAGCCTTTGGATGCCTCTACAAAACCCAAAAAAGCAGCAGCAAGTTGGCCTCTCTGTTGTCTTTCATGGACACTTCTTGGGGAATACAGAGAGCACTGTCACCCCATCTCTATTTCCTAGCAGGCATGGTAGCCTTGGTGGCTAGTGAAGGCCTGTCTGCTCATCCTCATCACTACATAAGACCAATAAGAGAGGTCTGTGAGCTCATGACAAGGCCAGCACAGCTGCAGGCTCTGACTGCTGTCAAAGGGACAGCAGCACCAGGACCAGCATAGCCAGATGTGCTTAAAGCACATAAACTCTGAACTCACTCATCACTCCTGGGACAAGTCAGTTTGTTTCTACCCCGTGGCAGCAGTGAAGGTTTGAAGTTACAAAATTACCAGCGGAAGCATCAACAGCATTAAGTGTCCAAGGACTGTTTATTTCTTCAGATGACTCAGTATCCCCTTCTCAGCTAAGAATCATTCCTCAGTACATTAAGATGTGTCACAAGCTAAGAAATTTCTTATGATTGATTATTTGGTATGAAGCATCCTGTTAGCAACTGAGTAAACAGGGGGGATGCTTCCAATTAGCAGGAGGGTTCAGGGTGGAGGGAAAAGAAGAATGCATCTATGGCATGAAGAACGGCATTCAAGGGTGCAAGTGCGTTCACACACTTGAAGAGTGAATCACAACTTCAGCTACTGTAACATGCCAGCTTCCTTTCTAGAAAGGAACAGCCAATAGTCTGGGTCTGACTCCAGGTGCTCCTCAACCAGACCCCGTCCCAATTTGATCCCTCTGTGGCTGTGAATTTCATCTCTCCTGCCCTCAGTTTCCCCTATGGAGTTGCTGGTTTACTAAACAATTAAGCTTTGAAGGGCACAGAAGCTGTTCACTCTGGCACACTTGGTGCTGCCCCATGAACACTCCCAAGCTGGTGCCAAAGTTGAAGAGCTGCTATAAATCAATGACAACGTTCAGCTCCAGTGCCCCCAGCACTTTTCTCCTTCCCAGCACACATTGCCTCACACCAGGGGGCCTTAAAAAGGCTCAGAGGAAGCTGCACTTAGGCACAGGGAATGCATGTGATCCAAGCTGGCTTCTGAAGGCGGCTCTTCACAGATCACCAGGTTTCAGTGCTCCCAGGTGTATGGGAAGAGTAACCCCATAACCTTTAAGCATAGCAAAATTTGTAGGAATTCCCAGAAGTCTGTCATTGCTACTACTCAACTGATACAGGCAGGAGCGCAGTGCAAAATAGCCTGGACAGACAGAACACCACCACTGGCTTAGTACTTAGTCACTAATACACTCCTGACCAAGGATTTATCTTCAAAAGGGGTTTTGGAGGTCATCTAGTCCAATCTCCTGCTCAAGCAGGATTAATTTCCAAGTTTTCCAAGCTAGGCAGGAGCAGTATTTAAATAGACACTATCCTAAAATGAGAAGCCTCAAAGGCAACTATTGGCATAACACTGACCACTCATAGCTGCACCAAAGCAGCAATAAAGAATCATGCAGAGGAATCTCTTGCTGTTTCTGTCCTGCTGCCCCTAATTTCTAGTAGTGGCTCTATCTCATGAAAATCACAGTCACAGAGACACTTTGCCCCTCTCCACATATCTGTTAAAAGTTATCACAGACCTCAGACAAGAGCTCAAAGTAACATTCAGAAAAAGGTGAGGAATTTGTTAATCAAATATTCACTAAAATGACCCTATTTCTACTTCACTGAATTACTTTTGAGCATGCAATAACCTGCTACTGCAAATACTCTTCTCAAGGACCCTTCAGCCCTACCCCAATCAATGCAAAAGACTGACATAGAATTCCAGCAATGCTCAACAAAGAAACTCTTCACCAGTTATAAATGTATGGAAGTTATTTATCCACTGCACCATTTTCATGTGCTCTAGCTATCACCTTCAGTGGTTTTCCTTGATATTAAAGAACTAACTTGTATTTGCTGAAATCTTGATTGCTAAAATCTTTTGAATGGAGAAATTCTGGAAAGTTTCATCCCAGCTAATAAAATCAGAAAACACAAAAGATACCTGCACAGCATGAGTAGACCACTTCAGGGAACTGAAACAGAGCAAGGACCTGAGCCAGACAAGGAAGAGAGGATTACATACCCACTACAAATGAACATCAGGGCACACAGCACCAAGAAAGGAAGCCCTGCGTCCCCCCAACACACACTCCCATCACCTCCCTTAAGCTGGCTTTAGCACTTAAGTAAATCAGTTTTCAGCTAGCTCAGCCTGAAGGCACATGAACCCTGCTGCAAGGCAATGTGGCGCAACACAAGACTGGGACTTCTCCCACTGGCAACCCAGCCTCATGTGGTGACACTATCTCCAAAGAAACACCAGGAGATTTGGACAAGAAAAGAATCTCTTGTCATTTCAGCAAAAACGCTGGTGTCCTTCACAAGAATGATCTGCATGAATCTGCTCTGCTAATACAGCCATGGGAGCACTGGAAAGGTCTGCATCTGAGCACTCCAGAAGCCAGTGCAACAGCGCTGACCAAGGTCTTATCAGTGGTGTGCACCCTAAAAAACAGTCAAGGCACCACTCTTACCCTGCCTGCATCCTAGAGTAAACGTAATTTTAAAGAGTGCTGTTACCTGGCAATCCAGGAGTACTTTTTTTTAGGTTTTGGAGCTAACCCCTCCTCCCTATATTCCCAAGATCTCTAATTGTATAATCATTCAGCTTTTCCTTCTTTCTGTTGGGAACTCATCCACACAGACAGGCCCCATGGAAAACTAATGGATGTTGCAAAGCAAATCCTAAGGCCAACTACCCAGAGACTGCTGTCAAAGCCAAAGAAACCAGATAAAAATATTCTCACTTTTATAGCAGTGACCTGATCTGCACAAACAGTGGAGACCAACTTCACCTTTATTCTTTCAAAAGATCAAAACAGACATGCTCCAGGCAGAATAAAGATTTGAACTGCATCTGTCATCCAGCATTAAAACACAGGAAATAAACTCAAGGCAGTACATGCAACGCAAATGCCTAAACCCCTACTCTGCCACTGCAGGTCTATTTATAGACTGTCTGCCACAGCGAGCTGCAGGAGCCAACTGTGAACTGGGGGAGTCAATCTATTCACAGCTCTCCTCCTAAAGGAAACAATGTGATTAAGGGCTGTGTGTGTTAAAAATACACAAGATATTCATTACCAAGTCATAATTGGTTTTATATTAATGACAAAAAGACCAGGATTCACACAGAGGAATTAATTCTTTTTAAAATCTGTTTATGAATAGGATTAGCTATTAAACAGGATATTTACTGATCCAAGCTACCAACAGAAACTCATTACAGGTATATCTGTTACAATTTTGAAGCAAAACACACTAAGCTCATTTTTCTAGACCATGATCAGGAATAGCAGATAACAAAAGAGCTGCATAAAATAAAACTTACTTTTGACATTTTAAGTATCCAGAAGTCACAACTCCAAAGTACTTATGGTACTTATTGTCCTAATATCAGAACACCTAAAATCATCCCATATATTCATATTCACAGCACTGTACTAAAATAGGGAGGGGTTATTCTCAGTGCACCAGCAGAAATTTAAGCTACAGAGAGGACAACTATCTGTGTGAAGTCAACAGAAATGGGCAGGTACTGGACAAGCCCCAGAAATTCCCTGTGGGGTTTGATGTGAAGCCAAGAAAGGTCTCTCCCCTGCCTCTGCCTTTTGGGAATCACATGTGAATTCAGAGAACTGCCCACACCATTGCAATTTTACACCGCTATCACCTCTCAAATGTCTCTTTACCTGTTTTAGAAGTATTGAGGTCCCAAGAGCAGGCCAATGGTGGAAAGCCACAAGGCCAGATTTGGTTCCCAGCCCTGACCCAGGTGGCCAGCCCTCAACCAGTAAGGTGCAATCACAACCCAGACAGCAGTAACCACGCTGGGGGGAGCTGTGGCAAGGACAACACACACAAGAAGGAAGAGATGTGTAGCTGTGTCTCGACCGTGAAAAAACGTCAGGAACAACTGACCTAGACTAGTTGTTCACAGAACAAAAAATGATAGTGGCTCTAGGTCTTCCTGATAAAGCTGTACCAGAAAAGGATGCCTAATGCTGTTGGAATTCAGGCTGAAGAGAAACATGACCTGGAGATAAAGGCACGCTTGCATCACAAGGTAGTACAGAGCTACCTGTAGCTTTGGTGGCATAACCCTCATCTCTCGCTCAGAAACTCCCCTTAACTCAGTCTCTCTCTGTCCAAAGAAGACCCTCTCAGGCAAGCCTGGAGAGCTCTGGAACCAGAGAAGCCTACAGAGCTCAGATGAGCATCTGTGTCCTGCTGTTAAAAAGGCTGGCTTGCCTACCTGCTTTTACTACAAAGATTAAGTTATTCATACTTTTAAGAAATATGTCATACAGTCTTTTCCCCTAATGGCCTCCCCTTACTCACTGGACCTCCGAAAGAGCTTTCTGGAGAATAACCAGCAAAGCACAGACGAGTGCCCACACTTCCCGAGTCCCCATGACACACGCGAGTAAATGCCACGCTGGTCAGGACACAGGAATTTTGGTCCAACTTTGCTGCATGACTACTCACACCCACAAAAGCCTAACCCCAGCATCGCAGCCCCACGCGAATTCTGAGCAAAGAAACTCTCTGAACATGCAGGAACTTCGGAAGAGTGTTTTCCCACTCTCCCAGGCTACTCCAGTGGGAGCACAGTGTGCAAGCGACACAAAGGCTCCAGTTCCCAGCTGATTTAACGGGATGTCACCACCCTGTGTCGCGCTGCGTGACACGAACTCGGGGACAGCGTGTCTCCGTCCCTGCAGAGCAGCAGCTCATGCTCAGGGCTCACACCTCCCCAGCCCTGGGCACAGAGCACCAGGGGCACCTGCAAGCGGCTCCTTCCAGGGCATGGCCGGCACGGCCGGGACCCGGTGGCAGGGAGGGCCCGACTGTCCCCGGGGCCCACAGCTGAGCACGGCAGCGGCACAGCCCCAGCGCTGAGCGACCGAGCCGCTCGGCCACAGGACCGTGTGAGGGGCCGGCGCCGTCCCCGGGAAAAAGCCAGCGTGCCACGAGCAGGCCGGTCCGGCGGCGGGGCAAGGCCGGCTACTGGTCCTGCTGGGCACTGCGATACCGAGCTAGGCTACCCTGCGCTGCACTCCCAGCGTCCGTCCCGTCCCGTCCCGTCCCGTCCCCGTCCCGCCGCTCGCACCCCAGGCCCCGCCGCGCACCCCCGCGTGGAGCGCGCGCGCCCTACCGCCCAGCGCAGCCCCCGTGCGCACGCGCGGCGCCGCGGCCCCGCCCCCCCGCAGCTGTGCGGAGCCGGCGGCTGCGCGCCCCGCCCACTGCCGGGGCCCCGCCCCCTCGCCGAGCGCTGCCGAACCCAGCCGAACCGAGCCGAACTCGGCCGAGCCCAGCGGTCGTCGCTCGCTGCCGAGGGCGGCGGGGAGCAGCGCGGTACCGCAGCGCCCGGCCCGGCCCGGCCCGGCACGGCCCAGGGAGAGCCCGTCCGCGCTTGACACGGGGTAAGGGGCCGACGGTAAGCGGGCGGGAGCTGGGGCACTGCGGGGCGCGGCGGCCGCAGCTCCTCTAGGCCCGGAGGGTTTTTGCCGGGGGGATGGGGGGGGTCCGCGGTGGCGCCGTGTTGAGGGCGGGCCGGGCCGGACCGGACCGGGCCGGGCCGGGCGCGCGGCCGTTGCGCCGAGCCCGCGGTGGAGGCGGCCGGGCCGGGCCGGGTCGGGGGCGCCGCTGCCATCTTGGGGCGGAGCGGGGCAGGGGGCGCGGTGCCCGTGCAGCGGCGTGGGCCCTCCGCCGCCCCAAGGCCGCCCGGGCTTTCCCGCTGTCCCCCGGGCGCCTGTCCTTTGCCGTCCCTCGCCTCGGCTGCTGCTGGGTAACCGGGTTTGTGCATCTCGGGGGTCGCCGGACCCCCGTCCGCGGCGCGCCCGGCTCTTCTGCGGTCGGCGCTTTTGTGCGTCGCTCCTGCAGGCACCGCCGTGAAGCAGAGCAGCAGGGCGGCAGGAGGGATGTTCCGAGGGTGGTGGGAGTAGCGCGGAGTTTTCTGATACTGCCCTGCTTATCCTCCCCTGGAATACTCGACAAAGGCTGTCGGATACAGCTCATGTCCGTGGCCAGATAGCGAAGCAGTCCCTTTTTGCTCTTGTCTCGGTCGCCAACCGCTCCACATCAGTAAGCCATGTTTTTTTCCTCTTGCTGTAGAGTGCACCCTTTATGTAGCTACCTACCTACTGGAGGGGGCATCACGCCAAAAATCTGCAATGTGGCTGCAGTTACACCGGTGTTCTCAGCAGGTTTGGTAGTTCTCAGCTAGATGGAGAGAAGGTGTTTGGGCAATTTGAGGTTCTGGGCACCTCCCTCCCTTGCTCATCTCGATTGTAGAAGTTAGAAACAAAAAGCTTATCAGTGTGTGCTCAGGGTGACTAATTTAGTTGTGTATATCCTAGAGGAGTCCCTTCTCCCCTGGATTTGTTGCTGTGAAAGTGCCTTGCTCCATAGTGTCGTTCTCTGGAGGAAGCACGCACCGAAGGCCATGGGCTGTGGGGCAGGAGCATCCGATTAGCGGCGATCACAAAGGGTTGCGTGGCTCAGGCGACTTTTGGGTGGTGCCGCCGATGCCCCACCTGAGTGTGGGACAGAGCCTTTGCAAGTGCATAGCGGAGACCAGTGGCCTCCCCTCCAAACAACCACAGTGTACAGCCCCTAATAGCTTTTATTACTCTTAATGCTTCTGAGAGAGGCAGAGCTGACTACTCAGCTCGTAACTGACTCCAAGAGGACTCCATTCAACCAGAAATAGCAAAGCATTACTTCTAATGACTGCAATTAGCTGGTATCTACCGAGAAAGGCCTTTTTCATCCTGAGCCTTTTAGTAGTAGGATTACGCTATCTTTATGGGGAGAGAAGTCCATTCTGCAGTCTTCACCTGGATACCAAAAGAGCAAAATAAACATGAAAGAACGTGCCTTTGAGGGGATTGGGAAGAGGCTCTGGTTTGACTCATAAGTATGTTTTGTTGCAATAAGTTTGCTCTATTTTTGTCTGTTCCTGTCTTTGGTAACCTTGGAAGGAACTGAAGCTACTGTATTTTCTGGGGGTGTCAGTTTTCATGTCAAGAAGGCATTGCCACGAGGCTTTCCAATGCTCCATTTTCTTACCCTTTGACCAGAGCATAGTGTAACTGTCCTAAATTGTTCTGAAGCCATGAGTTGAGACAAGAAAAGAAAAATCCTGAGTGTACTTGGCTTCTAGTTTCTGTGGGGGTTTAAGTTTATTTTTTTCTTTCTGGACTTAAAGTATCCTTGGTTATGTTTTTCAGCTTTCTGCAGTAATAAAGTGGGCTAGGAACTTGCTTGGAGGGGTTTTTATATTGTTTACATGAAAAATAAATCTTCACAAAATCTCTTCATTCTGGGAACTAGAACTTCCAGAAAACCCCAGGTAGCGTGAGATTTCAATAAAACCTTGAGAGCTGGCAGTGCCCAGGCCCTGGTGTTTGTCTGTTGCTGATGACACTTTGTGTGAGCCCCTGGTCGGTCACCGGGGACCCCAGCAGCTCCTCTGCCACCCGCCCATCCACACCGAGGGGCAAGCCCAGCCTGCCCGCTTTCTTCCTTTCCTGTCCTGGAGCTCTGAGTGCCCCAGCTCTATCCTAGTGGCCAGGGTGAGGCTATGCTGAAAACCCAAGGGCTGCAGGCAGCACCTCCCGCTCCCACCCAAGGCAGCTGGGACCCGTGTCATCTGATGTGAAGCTGCGCAGCCGGGCGGTGCTTGGAGAGGGAGGAGGCCCTGGGTGTAGGGTACTCCGTGTGTGCTGTTCATTCCAGACAGCGCTGGTTATGGATCCTGTGGCTGATTTGCATATCAAAGCATCTGAGAGCTCTGCCGTGGGTAGGGATGGGCAAGATGATAAGGCTTGCTGGAGGGTGGGACTGGATCTTTTCCGTGGCTTTTTGTGGTGCACAGATGAGACAAGATGATGGGAATGTTTGGAAAATGGAGTTTGTATCCGTGTCCTTGAATGACAGATCCATAAAGGCTTTTTTAATCTAGCAGCTGCTTTCCTGAGTGTGAAAGCCAGGCAATTCTTGGTGACAGTCCCTTAGGCTGCTCCTTCCCTGCCTCCTGCTGCCACTGAGAGCTTGCTGGGTAGCCCACAGTGTGGAGCCCTGCAGGTGCACACACACATCCCCCCTCCCCATCATCCAGAGCTCCTGCAGCAAATGGCCAGTGTGCCAGCCTGCTGCTTGTTCTCCACACTGCCTCTCACACAAGGAGGCAGAGGCCTTGCTTGGAGCCTCAAAGCAAGGGGGCAGATTTCCTACTGCCTGAACTGGCTCCGCAGGGTCTTTCGGGATAGTTGGTGGGGGGGAAACAGGGAATGGCAGAGCCTTGAATGGGCCATGGCCTCTGAGATACTGAATGAGTCAGAGGAGGGTTTGGCTATGTCTGGTCTCAGTAAAGCTGTCTGTTCTTAGTCCTGGCTCTGGAAATGAGCCTGGGGAGCTTCAAGCTTGTTTGCAGGCTGAGCTGGAAATTGAAATGCAGGTTTCCAGGAAGGGAGAGAGGTGGGGGTCCCTATGTTCCTCTGCCACTTTGATCTCAGCACGTGTGCTGCTGGTGCTGATGCTCCAGCCCCAAAGGACCACACCATGGGGCAGGTGGCCTGTCTGAAGGTAGCTCTGTGTTCATTGTGAGAGTGCCTGCTGCCCAGAACTGCTGTTGTCCTCTTTCCTGTGCCCTGTACAGCTCAGGCTCTTACTGGCCTGGACCCCTCACCTTCCTATCCATGGGGCAAGTTGATTTGTGCAGGACCTGCCTTGAGCACGGCCTTCTCAGAAGGCACCTTTCTGCCTGCATCCTCCTCTGTCAGGAGCATTCTGGCTTGTCCAGAGCAGAGTTGGGGGCAGGCCTGATGCATTGCCTAGAAAGTTGGTTAAAAGGAGAAGAATAAAAATCAAGGAATGAGAAAGAAATGCATCTGTATGTATGCATTCTGCAACAGAGAAGGTGAGATTCATGAAGTCACTACCAAGCTTGTAGAGCAAAGCCTTGCGGTATAAAATGGCTTTTCTCTGAGCCTGCAGGCCTGTGGTTGGCACTGCCTTCTCACTTCATGTCCTTCCAGCATGGAGCTGGGTGTCTGCCCTCTGCTCCAAATACAGATTAGCTGCAGGAAGCCTGAGGCTGGCTTGCTCTGAGAGATGCAGAATACTTTCCTCTGTGTTTCTCTGCACAGTGCTTACTGCCCTTTACAGGGCTATGTTTGCATGCTCCCTATGTATTCCTTGCACATGACTGCTAAGCAGTCCTGGAAAGGCTTCCCTTCTCCCTATGGCTCTTGCATGTTGAAATTGACTGCCTGCCATTCTCCCTCTCCTGTTTTCATCTCCCTTCCTTCACTCCTTAAAGCCAGGTTGGGGAATGGAAACAGTTTCCCTGTATCCCAAAGCTCTTGTCAGGCCAAGCTCTTGGAGTGGCTACACAGTTTATATGGGCAAAATAGCATCCTGCTGCCATAGCCCCCTACATCTGAGCAAGGTCTGCTGTTCTTGATGTGCTTTGGTCTAACTGTTGATGCCAGCAGCCTCTGCCCACATGGTTATTGTGCTGGGAAGAGAGGGAGCTCTTCTTTTATGCATGCTGTTTTTCCCCAGAGAAACTGGCTGTTGGTGGTACAGGTCTGGCTTAAAGCAAGGTTTTGAAGATTTCCATTTCTGTTGGCTGCTTGTGCTGTTGCATTAAAGGAAGGGCTGGATCTCTTAAAGAACTGTGTGTTGGAAAGGCAACACATTGCATCAGCACAGGAAAAAGCAGTCACAGGCAGGATTCATGCTGCCTGTTTTCAGTGTGTTCTGCTATTGCTTTTCTGAGCCACCACAGCCATGCTACCTCTGAGCAGCAAGCTGAAAAATCTCCCTGCCTTTCTGTGTCTGGAAGAATGACTGCTGCAGACCTTTCCTGTGTGTCTTTTTGCCCTCACTCCCTGGAAGGACTCTATGCCCCCAGAGCTACCCACATCCTTTCCCTGGGTGTGCTCATCACCTCTGCACCCCTGTAATTTTTTGTGCAGAGAAGTTGCTTGCTTTGACAGCCCCTTCGCAAGCAGTGCTCTCTCATGTTT